GCTGTTGTAACCCGGCAAGGTGACAAGTGAGCCCCAAAGGATCCCTTAGTCAAGGTAGCTTGGCAGCAGAGCCTGCGGAGGACAGCCAGAGGGAGCAGGTGTCTCCGAGAAGCTGTAGCCACAGCCAAGCAAGCGGCAGCTCTTCTGCGGCTGTCCCTGGGGAGGGCAGGCAGTGGTTAGCAGACAGACGCCTGGCTTCCCTTTATATGGGCACACAGTAACCACGCGATCACAAAGGGCTGTCAAGCTGGGCAGCAGATGGAAGAAAAGGCCAGGGAACCTTCTCTCCTGACAGGGCACCTTCTGAGGCTGAAATTGTGAGGGGAGGGCTCAGTTAATCCAAGTCCTGCAAGAACTGGGGTGAGGGTCCCACACAGCAGGTCAGCAAGTGGTCCAGGCTGGTGCTTGGGTGAGCAGATCTTCAGGATGAGTGAGGCCAGAGCCTGCCAGGAAGCCTGTCTGGCCAAGTAGCACTACGGGGTACTGGTGGGTTGGAGACCGGCATCTTGCAGGCCTATGATGCAAGACCAGGAAACAAAGGGATTGGGACACCAGGGGCCTCCTGTGCTCACTAGGGCTGCTAGGTAAGAGCTAAGGGCAGAAGGCTGGGGACAGTGTCCGCCTGAGAGTGCAAACTAAAGCAAACGTGTGTTCGTGGTGTGTGTGCGGTGTGTGTGTGTGTGGTTAGCGTCTGTACACGGTGTTTCTGTGTGTATTCTGTTTGTGGCCGCGTGGAGGCCCGTGAAGACACTGCGTGTTTGCTGTGGGACCCTCTGCATGCTCACAGCGGGACGGTGGAGGCTGAGGAAGAGGCGGTGCCGGAGTAAACAGGGTGGTACAAAGCCAGACTTGCAGGTTTGGGGCAGCACGGGAGTCAGCAACCCCGCCTGCGTGCAGACAAAGACGCTTGCGCCTGCGCTGTGCCCTCCCGGCCCCGCCCCGAGCCTTGAGCCCCTCCTCCCCTCGGTGGCCTTTTACTGCCTGCCCAGTTCCCTTGCTCTTGTGTCTGCCGTTAGGACTTTGCCTGTCTGCAACGTGTGTGTAAGTGGGAACTTGCAATGTTTGCCCTTGCTTAGGCTCATCTAACTTAGTTCAGTGTTTTATCTATGTTGTAACATTTGATAGGACTATTCCTTAAAACAAACAAACAAACAAACAAAAAACTATGGCAAACCATTTGGGAAGTAGAGGCAGGCAGATCTGCAGTTAAAATTGCTACTCTGGAAGTTGGAGGCCAGCTTAGGTTACAATGAGACCCTGTCTCAAAAGGTAAACAAAAAAAGTAAAAGGAAGCCTGAGTGCTAACAGGAGGGGTCTTAGGTTTCGTACCCGGTATGGAAAATAAAATAGTGTTAAAAAAAAAAAAAAGGAAAAATCTTTTCCTTAGGGCTAACAAGGTGGCTCAGTGGGTAAAGGCACGTGCTGAACCACATGCCTGAGAACCCTAGTTCTATCCCAGGAGCTCGTGGAAAGAGAAAGGCAAGAACGGACTCAAGTGCACCTTCCCACCATACCACCCCCACCCTCACCCCCACCCCCACACAATAACGATCACTGTAAAATAAATGAAATTAGCCTGGCGGTGGTGGCGCAGGCCTCTAATCCCAGCACTCGGGAGGCAGGCAGATCTCTGTGAGTTCCAGGCCAGCCAATTCCCTGACACCCAGGTCTACGGAGAGGAACCTTATCTAAAAACAAAATTACCTAAATTAAATTATTTTTAAAATAACAGACTTGATGCACCAAAACTTATTTTACCATGTAATTAATTTAAACGCAAACACGATATTGGACTCATTTATTATTATTATTATTATTATTATTATTATTATTATTATTATTATTATTGGACTTGGTTCTGTGAAATCAGGGTGGCCATATTTAGAGTGCTCAGTTACCACATGTGGCAACTGGACTGGACTGAACAGGTCTGGAGAATGTGGACAATAGACAGATCTGGACCCCTGGCTTACACCAGTCCCTTACTGTGTGCTGTGTGACCGGCAAAGTACAACCTTGTGGAGATCCACAGAGGTTTCCTAGTGAGGACTTACTCAGGGCCTGAGAATCTGAGCTTGCTTTACCCAGCAGGGCTGCATAAGAGGATCATTTGACCATGGGTGGGCGTGGTACCAGGTGTTTGGAAGGGTCTACACTTGGCTGTTGGGTGTGCTTTGATCTAGCAAGGGGGAGGTCTTTTGCCCCACCCCTTGGCATTGTTATAAAAAACCCTTTTGAATAAACGGAAAAGATCGTTGGGTATTGACCTAGGTCCTCCTGAAGCTATCCTGAGTTTCTGTATTCCTCTTCTTTGGTATCTTTCTATCTAATATTTTCTTATCTCTCTCTCCTCTTTATAAGGACCCTTGAAAAGGTGGGAGCTGGCCTCCCACACAGCCTCTCTCTCTCTCTTTTTTAAGGTATTAATTTTTTTTATTTTTTTTATGTTTAAAGACTAGCATGATCTCTATCATTCACTGGGTGAATGGTCTTGAATAATCCAGTCAAGAATGGTGGCTGAGCCGGGCAGTGGTGGCGCTCACCTTTAATCCCAGCACTCAGAAGGTACAGGCAGGCGGATCTCTGTGAGTTCGAGGCCAGCCTGGATTACCAAGTGAGTTCCAGGAAAGGCACAAAGCTACACAGAGAAACTCTGTCTCGGAAAACCAAAAAAAAAAGAATGGTGGCTGGGTCCAACCTAATGAAGGCTTTGTGGTTCTAGTACTGATGGAAACCCTGCCAGCATATGCTTAGCCCCTCATGGTCTGAGGAGCCTTGGTGGGAGGGAGAACTCTGGTGGAATTTCTGTGGGAGACTCCAGTGACCCATCCTGCCTTCAGATGTCCAAGGAAGGAAAAGGCCTCTCCCATGTTTCTATTTCTCCCTTTTTTCCTTTTTGTTTGGTACCGGGCTTGGGCATGGTAGGCAAGCACTCTACATTACCCAGCCCGACTATTTCTTGTTTTATTTGTTGTTTGTGTGCTCTTGAGACAAAGTCTCAAGAATCCCAGGCTAGTCTCAAACCCCAAGTGTAGCTGAGGAGGGCTTTGAACTCGTGGTTCTCCGGCCCACACTTTGGGACATCAGGTATGCATCACTATGCCAGGTTGACGCAGTGAACTCTCCCAGTGACGTTGTATCCCCAGTTCTGTTTCCATGTTTGGATCAACAAAATGGAAATAATAGTACTCACTTTGTAGGGTAATTCTGAGACCCTGATTCAAACCAAACAACAACAAAAGTATCTTTCTCACAGCTACTTTTGAAACAGTGCGTTTGTTATCTGTAATTGTTATCTGTAATCACGTACTGTGCAACGGCACACAGAACTTTCCCTTGTACAACCATTCCAAAGGAAAGACGGGAAAAGGAGAGATATATACTAATTTATCTGTTTGGTTTTTTCCTTAAGTTTTAAGCCATGTAAACAAATTACCTATTTAAAGAAGGAGATACATACAAATATTTGAAAGCAAAATTAGAGGAATCTCTTGTTTAGACACACATCTTTGAGGGTGCTCTATGTCCCTTTGTCTGCAGCCATGGGTGACTTCTGACTTCCTGCTGCTCTTAGCACAGCCTTCAGAACAGCTGTGGGCAGCAGCCTCTCTTTTTCCCTGACCTGGGAAACCCCAGAGGCAGTTGGGCTGGGCAGCCTTTCTGAAGTGGCTGGTCGACCGGTCCTCTCCAGCCCTTTCCTCCCTTTCCTCCCTTTTCCAGAGGAGCCTGGGAAGCTTTGACTGTTCTCCTCTGCCTGCTGGTGTTCTCCTCCTCCTGCGAGGCAGCATCCACCTTTCTGCCAGCTCCACTGCTGGCCATTCTTCTCCAGAGAAAACAAAACTACACAAAAGCCTCCCATGCTTTCCTAGACTCTACAAACCTCAGATTTGTTCCACTCCGGCCTAGAGTGGAGTGTCCCCTGTGTACAATTAAGCAGGAGAAGTCGGTTTTGAGACACAGCTCTTTGGTTTCATTTTCGTCCGACTCGATCAACTGGGAATGCTGGTCCTCATAAAATATCTGGCACCGTGGAGAGTCCCACGGGGCAGGCCAGTTTGTGTGAGAGTCTGGCCTCTTAGAGAGCCCCAGTAAATTTCCATTCGGTATTTCAGAGCCTGGATCTACATGGAATATGCATTTGCAGCTGTCTGAGGCCGGGGGTTGGGGAACAGAAACACGAGACTCAATTCCTGCTCTGAGGTCTCTGTGAGGATTGTTAGGATGCCTTCCGTTAGCTATCACTGTCTGAAGTCCTGTGCTTTAAAAAAAAAAAAAGTCCATTTTCAATATCTCAATCACATCACCAAGTTGTAGATATTTTCATAGTTAGCCATTTTATGGTTACCACACTGTGTGTGACAATATAATTTATGGCCATGGCTTTCTCCCCTCCCACCATTTCTTTCTAAGATAGGGTGTCACCATGTGGTCCCAGCTGGCCTGGAACTATGTAGGTAGAACTCACAGAAATCTGCCTGCCTCTGCTTCTCTGGACCTCTTCTTAGTGTTTTTGGGGAAATGGCTTTTATACTGCAAACATCACAGATGGCTGAAGTATAAACTCTCAGTCACACCACCCTTGGTAACTCATTAAACCTCTCCGGCGTTAATTTAGCCCTGACAGGCATAGCATGCAGCTTTTAGCTTTCCTTAGCTACAATTCCTCTGTTAACGCCGAGTGTGATCCGAGACCTCTGCCAGGTGTGCTCCATGTGGTCTGAAAGCAAGCTGCTTCCCAGATGCTAAGTACAGCCAGACCTCAGACATTTAGAACAGTCCCGGTTGTGCCCTCCAGAGAGGATGTGCCCCAGCGCTTCCTTCCCTCGAGTGCTGTCACAGTGCGAGGACAAAGAGCAGAGGACCCTGGAGGCCGCAGTTCACTCTCCATCCCACCCACAGGGCCTAGCAGAGCCAATCGGAAGCAGCAAGAAGCTTCCAAGGAAGTGACTGCACTCACCCACACAAAACTCACAGACAGAAAGAAAGAGCCGGGAGTCTGTTGATGGTGGCGCAGGCCTTTAATCCCAGCAGAAGCAGACAGATCTCTGTGAGTTCGAGGCCAGCCTGGGCTACAGAGTGGGTTCCAGGAAAGGCACAAAGCAAAGCTACACAAAGAAACCCTGTCTCTAAAAACCAAAAACCAAACCAAACCAAACCAAAACCAAAACAAAACAAAACAAAAAAAAAAAAAAGAAAGAAAGAAAAGAGAGAGAGAAAGAAAGAAATAAAGAAATAAAGAAAGAAAGAAGGAAGGAAGGAAGGAAGGAAGGAAGGAAGGAAGGAAGGAAGGAAGGAAGGAAGGAGCCTGGTGTCGCTCAGGTTTCCTATCAGGACATCCTGGCCTGAGACACTGGAAAAGTTAACTGAAAGATGGGAAGAAGCCAGAAGGTGGCCTGGGGACACACCGAATCTGTCAAGTTTACAAAATCCAGTTCAACAGCGGTTATTAACTCTCAGTCCTACCCCAGTCCGTTCTATTGGTGTGATGCCCAGTGCCTGTAATTCCAGGACTAGGGAGGATGAGGCAGGGCTGTGAGTTCTGAGCCAGCCTGGGCTACACAATGAGACTCTGTCTACAAACAAACCAACCAACCCAAAATCAAACAAATAAAAACCAAATAATAGCAAAACCAACAAACAACAAAACAAAACAATTCCATAAGGACAGTTTTTCTTTCATGAGGGCATAATCTAGACCCAGGAGCCTGGTGGAAGGATCTGTGTGTGAGTAGATTGGACTCTGTGGGAAAGAGTCATAGACAACATTTGTCCTGGGGATGAGGAAAATCTGGGTCCGAGCCTCCCTGTACAAGTGACAACTTCCCACCACCTATGGGTCCTGCATGCCTCCCACCTGGCAAAGAGCAGGGTTGGGTTATTCACTATGCAGGATAAGCGTAAGAACCTAGGGGTGCTGGGACCAAGGGTGACCCACTTTGGGCTTGTCCGTCAATGCAGGAACAGACAGGGCTCATCTACTCATTCACCCAGTCACAAATCACAACTTCAGCAGACACTGCAAACACGCCAGGCCAGTCATA